CACAGTTGATAGAGAATAGAAGCAGCCCCCTCAGTAGCTAATAAAAGGCCATCTGGAGATAGCCTTCAACACTGATGTTACATTTCATTTTTTTTAATGCACTAGAGATTGCACGGAAAATTAGGTTTTGTGAAAGCTAGCAAAGTGGCATGTCTGTTGCCTTTCCTTGGGACTTTGTCATTTGTATTTATGATATTGTTTCTAAACTGACAAGGTGACTCAAATCAAATCCATTTACAGAACTTACTTTGGATGTGCTGCTGTAGATTTCTATACATCACAAATCCACACCTTGGAAACAAACTAAATATCATACCTTATGTACTAGTGTCCTCCGATATCTGTAGTAGTTAAGGTAAAATAAAAAATCTGATTTTTTTTCATTCCAGTCTTAACTGAGTGAAAAATTTGTCCATTGTCTTATTGGATAAACCATACATTTGTTTTCTTTCTAAGGGAAATAAAACTAACATTCTTCAGTGTTTACTCTGTCTGAGACACACATTCATATAAAAAAACACTCAAGAAGAGTATTAAAGTACTAAGAAAACTGAGGCTCATTAGGACAAGTAGATAACTTGCCCAGAATCCAACAAGTGGAAGAGGCTGAACTAGAACCTAGGTCAGTCTAATGCCCAAGTCCATGCTTTTTCCATACCTCCATACAATTCACTGAGATTGAGCTGAGCTACTACATCCTGCAAACACAACCATAAAAGCCTACAGAGGAAGCTTGATCGATGGGACAGAAAGCAAAAAAGGAAAATATATTCATATTGGAATCAGAATCTTAGGAAGCATTATACCCATCAATACCCACAATTAGGTTAGTTCCACAACACCTGCACTTCTTCACCACCATCTAGTGGACCTTCAGCAGACACAAGAAGTGAAAATGTTTTCTTTTAGCCCTGTGCATGCACACATGCGCACGCACACACAAATATACGCATATGCACCTGTTAAAAATGCTCAAATTATTTAATGAAATAAAGAACTTGACAGAGGAGGGGCGCCTGGGTGGCTCAGTCATTAAGCGTCTGCCTTCGGCTCAGGTCATGATCCCAGGGTCCTGGGATCGAGCCCCACATCTGGCTCCCTGCTCAGCTGGGAGTCTGCTTCTCCCTCTCCCACTCCCCCTGCTTGTGTTCCCTCTCTTGCTGTGTCTCTCTCTGTCAAATAAATAAAATCTTAAAAAAAAAAAAAAGAACTTGACAGTGGAAATGTATCCATATAGAGAAAGGGTACATGCAGCTGTTTCTCTCTCTGTCAAATAAATAAAATCTTTAAAAAAAGAAAAAAAGATAGTAGGGAGGGAAAAATGAAGGGGGGGGAAATCGGAGGGGGAGACGAACCATGAGAGACTATGGACTCTGAGGAACAAACTGAGGGTTCTAGAGGGGAGGGGGGTGGGAGGATGGATTAGCCTGGTGATGGGTATTGAAGAGGGCACATATTGAATGGAGCACTGGGTATTATACACAAACAATGAATCACGGAACACTATATCAAAAACAAATGATGTAAGGTATGGTGATTAACATAACATAATAATAATAAAAAAAAGAACTTGACAGAGGAAATGTATCCATATAGAGAAAGGGTACATGCAGCATTCCTTAGCACACTATTTTCTTTCCACTCTTGGTTCCCTATGGAGTGCAGAGTTCCTGTTAACATTCTCTTCAGAAACTGTTCTATCATACACGTGTTGGACTCTCCTGGTTCTTCAACTAAACTTAGTCTCCATAAAGCCATACTTTCATTGGAAATAAGGGTGGGTGGTAGGGTAGATGAGAGCATAAGCTGTGCACAGGTGACTAAAAATATACCTGGGCTGCAAATTTCCCGTTGTGCAGAAAATCCACTGCAAGAATATACCTCAATCTGCCCCTTTTCTCTGCCCCTCCCCCCTTCTATTACTCACACAAATACCCTTTTTACTCCTTTAGCTCCTTTATATTCTCTTCCAGATCAAAATGCATGTGTGTAAAAAGATCTGATATGGATTGTCAATAACTTTTCCAGAATTATTTGCAGTTTACTCTCAGTCCTAACTGGAATTAAAGATGCAGTCTACTGTTAAAGGAATTTCTAGTACAAGCACGCAGGAAAGTGTATTTTGGGGCAACATCTTTGGATTCATAGTAGTTATTTCTTCTCTTGCACTACAAATTTATCGTCCAAATGGATAGCAACTTTGAACACAGAAATTTTGAATGTGTAAAATGACATCTTTTATCAAGTAAATCATGGTAATCCAAATTAGCCACATCCTCAGGAAAAATATCTTACTGAAAAATTTTTACTCAAGTGAAGAGTGATTCATACTCACAAATTCGCTAAAGAACACTTTTTAAAGAACCCTTAGCTGAGTTCTTAGCAAATGTAAGTCTAGAATTATCTCAAATGTCTTCTATAATAAGCATTTTGGAGGGCAAAAAGGATACTTGGAATCCTGAGACAAAAAAAAAAAAAAAAAAAAGAAAGAAATCTTTTCTATTCTTTGCCTCGTAACCAAAATAAATATTCTAGTCAAAAAGCCTGAGTTTGGGGGCGGGGGAACTGTCTTTCTGTTTGGGCAAGCCAAATAAGAAGTGATTAACTTCTCTCACCTAAAAAAGGCAGGGAGCACAGCTTGTCTTCCTTTTTTGGCCTCTGAACCATTTTATTTAAATGATGCTGCCAACATACTTATATATAACAGCACATATCTGAAAGTTTTACTTTCTCCCCCAAGCTATGGAATGATTTGCCAGTGATGCCAGATTCCTTTGTGACACATATTTACTATAACGACCCTGGGTTTGAGTGGAAGGTTTACAAAAAGGATTGAAACTAAGAGGTCTATTGTGAGCTAAACTGCATTTTTAGTGAGAAATCAATAAGGATTCCAAAACAAGAGGTATCTCCCTAATCACCAGCCGCTTTGGCCAATCCTAGGCAAAAAGGGAGATGCAAAATGTCTCCTCGCCTCCTATCTCATTGGCATTTGAAAAGCTATTTTCTATCACAAAGGCCTTAGTTATAAAAAAGGATGTGAGAGAAAAAAATTCATATAGCTCAGATAAAAAGAAAAAAATATATAAAATTGTGTGGCTGCTTCAATAATACACAAATTTATCTTCTACTGAAATCAATGAGCTACCTGGAGGAAATCAATTTTTTAAAAAGATTTCACAGTAAGATGTTAATAAATGATAAGATCCCTATCCTTTTTCAACCTTATCATGAATTGCATGCTTCAACCACATTGACTGTCCCATTTCCCTGAATAAGCTCTGTGTCCACCTACCTGTTTTACATACTCACACTTCTGCCCACTTAACCTCTCTCATTGTTTTAGGCTCCAGGTGTAGTCTCCTCTTCGAAGCTTTCATTTCCCCCACAGGAGAAAATTGGCAACTTCTTTAGTGTTCTCACAGCACTACCTGGAGACCTCCTTTACAACACACAGTCACAATCTCCTTAGGAGCTCATCTGCTGCAAACTGGCTACCAGCCCCTTGAGAATAAGAAGCATGTCAAATGCATATATTATTTTTATTTCCAAGGGCTAGAAGTGACGCTAGCATAAAGTGTAAAAATAATAATTACTATAGAAAACATTTATTGGTCTTTGTCTGCCGCATAGTTCAAAGCAGGTTCCGTGCATTATCGCATTTAATCCTTAAAACAAACATTTGACGTGGGCTCTATCATCATCCCTCTTTTAAGACGGCAAATTGCAGCAGAATCCTTCCAAGACTAGGACCGCGGGAGACTACAAAGTAAATGGCTCCCCCTGGAGTTAGGCAGTGCATAAGCTGTGCACAATTAGCAATGGCCTCTCAATGTTTTAGAATAAAATGTAAACGTTTAGTTTAATATTAGGCTTTTACCAGATGAATTTGTAATTTTAAAAAGTATGTTTAGGGGTCTTGGATGCCTTAAACCGAAGAACATGTTCGAGGCAAGGAGGGTCATCTGCTTAGTGTCCTTTTAAACTTATTGTCTAAATAACCATTTATTCTGACAGAAAATTGTCACTAAATTGTTCTGATGACCATATGGTCTAACAAAATGACAAAACTAAAGGAGACAATAGGACAGACTGTTTGCAGTCAAGTGAAAACAGTCCAGAAAACCTAAGAATGTCATCACCGTTACTCTATTTTTCTACCCCCTCCCCCAACCCCCATCCCAAGCAAGCTGTAGGCTAAGCTATTCATTCACAAAAAGAATTAAACAGCAAAAATGTCGTTTTGCTATAGACATATGTAATGCTAACTGGCCATATGCAGCACAGCTAAAACACAATGAAATCTCATGTTTTAATTTTCCAAAAGTAATAGCATGTTAGAATTTAACAAATGGTAACCAACCAAAGTACATATTATATAAATTCATGACATTTATCTTAATTATATTTTGCCCATGATCTCAGAACCAAAAGGGTATTAAAAGAATAATCCTGAAAGAAGTTATTAAATTCTGCCTTGCTCTTTTTTAAGGGGCTTCAGGGAAATATGTGTTTTGTGTTGTGTGTAAATACTCTTAATATCACGCCCTGATCTCATGTTAAGTGGTAAGAGGAGGTCAGTAAAACAAGAGGTTTGAATGCAGAGGGTGGAAATAGGCCATGAAGAATTAGTAACTTAAAATGAGTTAATGTGAATTAGAGATGAATTTACTAAATAGAATTCAGTAAGAATCTCATATCCAAGGTCATATTCTAGCTTCACTGCTAAAGAACAGATCATTTTAGCACAAATGCAGCACAGTTCATGAACAATTATCAACATGTAGTTGTATTGACCACAAATCACAATCACAAAGGATGACATTAGGTGCATCTAAGCAGATTATTAAAGAGTTGTGCTTTTCCTGACAGTGTTTACAGAGCCCATGGGTCTCTAAGATGCGCATCATTTCAAATATTTTTTAAGGAAATAGAATAATCCTGAACTTAGGGAGACACCTACAGGTACAGCAGAAAAAAAATAAAAGGAAGATCAGAGAAACAAAACAATAGCATTATGTTTATTCAGGAAAACCAAAATGATTTTTCTTTGAAAATATTTTTGAATGCTGAATTTTTCATAATGTTAGGCACAAATTTTTGCCTAATGACCTAAAGGATGGGTCATAATTCTTCAGAAATGGAGTCGGGATTTGCCTATTGGTAGAAATAACATTAATTGTTACCATCATCAACATCATTTTTACGGTGTCTACCAGATAGCAATAAGCATATTTACATATTCATCACTTTGATAAGTTTTTTCCCGCATTTAAAATAAAAATATACCTGGTAAAATAAACATCTTCTACATTAGCAGTCTCTTAACATAAATGGTTTTATTAGATACTTTTTTTTTTTTTTGTAAAGGAAAAATTTTGAGTAGTATGAAGTGGATAGGAATTTAAAGATGCTAGTGGAGGGCGGCAGGGACCCATGGCATAACCTTTTCTGTGGGTAGATAGACCTAGAGCTATTTAACAACCCCCTCAGCTCTCCCCTCCGTTGTATGAATCCCCCCTCCCTGAAATGGAAATCAGAGGAATAAATCATCCTGTTTCTTTGGTTTTGTTGCTTTAATTTTTCTACTTTCGAGCAGGTTTTGTTTGGAAAGGAAGCCTCTTCAAAGCTCTCCTCTACTTCCTATACTATGATAATATTTATATAACACTGATATTTCCATTAAGTTGCAGGGAAAGGATTTTGATGTCTTCATGGTACCCTAAACACATCATCCTAATATGCTTCCAAAGCCAGAAAAACTCTAGTATTGACAGAAGGATCACTGGAAAACAAATCCCATAATTTTACCCTTCCCCGATTTTGACATTATGCCAGTATATCCAGTCTCAAAATCACTGCCCATCAAAAACGGCCCACAAAAGAACAGCCAAAATAGGTGAGGGGATATAGGAGATTCTACACAGTGAATACCCAAGGATCAAGAGCCTTTTTTTTTTTTTTAAAGATACAAGACAGATTCTGTCAATTCAGTCTCCCAAAATAAGATCTGATCCTCTCCATGTTTGTCATCTCTGAGTAGCACCAGGACAGGAAAGTTTAGATAAGAGAATTTCTCTAATACATTATTCTAACAGTCCTCTCATTGCCAGTCTTGCCCCATTAAAAGGCATGTTCCACACAGCTGTTGTGCTAAATATAAATCTTATCAGATTATTTCCATAGTGAAAACCCTTTTATGATTCTGTCCTTATCTTCAGGATGAAGTACAAATCCCTTAACTTGCCTCTGTACATAACCTGGCTCCTGCCCACCTTCCCAGTTTTCTGCCTTCCCATTCATTCTTTTTCAACAATTGTAATAATACAGTAACAATATTAATAGCATTTATAAAATAAATACTACCTGTCAAGACTGTCCTAAATACTTTTATTGTGGTAAAATACCTGTAACATAAAATTTACCTTATTTACCATTTTTAAGTGTGCAGTTCTGCAGCTCTAAGTTCATTCATACTGCTGAACAACCATCACCACCATCCATCTCTGGAACTTTTCATCTTCTCCAACTCAAATGCTATAACCACTCAATTCCTTAATGTCCCATTCCCTTTCCCTAGGCCAAGGCAACCACTATTCTACTTTCTGTCTCTATGAATTTTACTATTCTAGGAATCTCATATAAATGAAATCATATTTGTCCTTTTGTGCCTGGCTGATTTCACTTAGCATATTGTCTTCAAGTTTTACCTATGTTGCTGCATGTGTCAGAATTTCCTTCTTTTTTAAGGCTGAATAGTATTCTAAGTATATACCACATTTTATTTATCCATTCATCTTTCAAAGGACACTTGGGTTACTTCTCTCTTGGCTATTGTGAATAAAGCTGCTATGAACATGGGTGCACAAATATCTATGTGAGACCCCACTTTAGTTCTTTTGGATATAAACCTAGGAGAATTACTGGGCCATTTGGTAACTGTTCAATTTTTTTGAGGAATCCTATCATTTTCCCCTGAAGCAACAGCCCTGTACATTTCCACCAGCAATGTACAAGGGCTCTGTGATAATTTTAAGTCATAGGTACCTATGATAGGTAATCAACTTGACTGGCTACGGGGTGCCCTGATTGTGTATTATTTCCGGGTGTGTCTGTTAGGGTGCTTCTGGATGAGATTAGCATTTGAATCAGTGGATTTAGTAAAATAGATTGCCCACTCCAGTGTCTGTGAGCATCATCCTACCTGTTGAGAGTTTGAATGGAACAAAAGGCAGAGGAAAGAGGAATCCACCCCTTTTATCTTCTGCCTCACTAATTGATCTGGGGCATGTCATATCACCTTTTCCGGCCCTTAGGCTATGATTTACACTATGGGCTCTCTTGCTTCTCAGGCCTGTATTCAGACTTGGACTGAGTTATACCACTAACTTTTCCAGGTATCATAGCCCTTCTACACTCCTAACTTACATCATCATTCTGGAGAAAGCCATATTAACAACCTAATACTTTCATTTTAGGGAATATTCATAAACACCCACTCTCCTGGATCTTGAGCCAAGCCCAGCCATAAGGAGGTCACATGCTCATGCCCAGGAAGAAAGTAAAGTCAGATTTGAAGAAATATTCTGCCATTTCTTCCTTATTCCAATGTTTAGGTCTGATTAAATATTCTTATTGAAGTGATTCCAGTAGAATTTGGTTGAAGATCACAACCATAATATATTTCTCTATACTCTTCATACTTTTTCCAAGATAGGTGTAATTATTTGTTCATATATGATTTTGTTTTCTGGTGCTCAAGTCAATATAATGCTAAACTGAAGAATTGGGACTAGCCAGATTTTTTTTAGGTAAAGTTTAATTTTTAAAATAGAAATAGTTTTATAAGAAATACTTCAAATAAATATGACTTTTTAAAATAATACCTTTGTCGGGCGCCTGGGTGGCTCAGTTGGTTAGGCGACTGCCTTCGGCTCAGGTCATGATCCTGGAGTCCCACATCGGGCTTCCTGCTCAACAGGGAGTCTGCTTCTCCCTCTGACCCTCCCCCCTCTCATGAGCTCTCTCTCTCTCAAATAAATAAAATCTTTAAAAAAATAAAAAAATAAAATAAAATAATACCTTTGTCTAGAGTTTCTGATGAAGTATTAAACATGTAAAGTTTTTAAGGGTATATACGTTTTTTAAATTTTTAAAGTAAGACTGTACATATACAATTAGAGCATCACAAAATTCTTATAAGTCAGGTATTTTAATGTAAAGCTTTCAAGAAAGCACATATCAAGTGTTGAATTAAATTGAAGACATGGTTTTACTCTCTGATTGTCACTGAAAGACTATTTTAGAAAAAAGCTAACACAAAAACAGGATGTTACATAGATTGCTGCTTCTTTTCCAAACACTTCTCAATATCATCAAGCACTTGAACGGCAGCCTTTGGAATTCGAGTCCCAGGACCAAATACATTGGAAACTCCAACTTCAAAAAGAAATTCATAATCCTGTTGAAAGAATTTGTTTAATTAATAGAAGAGGCAATATTTCTAATTTCAAGGAAATGAAACTAGGACAACAAACACTGTCCTTTATTCTTTGTCACTGATGCCCCCAGCTTTCTCAACTGGTATACCATTCGCATTTGGAGCTGAAAAGAATCCTTCCCGGGATTGCCAATAATAACCACTAGCACCCATTTTCCAAATACCCCAGTGTGTGATATGTGGTAAGAAGCAGTATGACCTACTGATCAAGAACTTCCAAGCCCAAAACGATATAATTTTCTCTCACCTAAATTATCACTACTTGTCATTATTTGTGTTAAATGTAGTATCACATTATAGGTTTGAGTTTACGAAGCTATTTACTTCCTCTAAGATATTTTGTCTGCAGTTAGTAAATGGTGATACTTTTTCTTTTCTTTTTTTTTAAAAGATTTTATTTATTTATTTGACAGAGAGAGACACAGTGGGAGAGGGAGAAGCAGGCTTCCCACGGAGCAGGCAGCCCGATGCGGGACTCGATCCCAGGACCCTGGGATCATGACCTGAGCCAAAGGCAGACACTTAACGACAGGCGCCCCTGAATGGTGATACTTTTGGGGGGTGTTTTGTTTTGTTACTTTTTTTTTATTCGAATATAGTTGACACACAGTGCTACAGGGTTTCAGTTGTACAACACAGTGATTCAAGTTTATACATTATGCTATGTGTACACATTGATGTTGACTGCTACAGTTATATTATGAAGGATACTCATATTAACACACATGTGTGCCATTACAAAAAATAACCTTTAGTCTTTAAACTCACAGGGAAAAAAGTATGGAAAACATCTACAGATGTTCTGAGTAATTCAAATATCCAGAGGGTTAATACAACTTCTGTGAAATATATTTCTTGAAGATGTCAGCTCACTTAGGTAACAGACCTGTATTTTTTGTCAACTCATATTCAATTCCAATATTTTGTGCACCCTAATTATTTTGGTTCTTAAATTTTAACATCACATCTAAGAGCTTAGATATTATAGACTCTAAAACTGCAATACAGATAAAAGTTTCCATAGATAGACAATAAACGCCCTTTATAGTCCCATATAGTAAACTATATTTGTGAAAATAGGCATGTACATTAACAAAAGCAGTTTTGTGTTGACTATATCACCTTAAGTACTGTGTTGTTAGAAAGAATAAATAATACATAGTTTGCCTGCTAGCCCCATATTACTATCAAACTCACCATTTCATACATATATTTTCTGATTTCATAAGTAGTATATAAGTCACTATTTTAATTTCTGAGCGGTATGGAGGAAAAAAATTATAGGCCGAAACATAAGATCACACCTCACTGATTCCTGCTCTAGTGGAGGGGTCACTGTAGCATCTATCGATTATTTTCTTTGAGCAATATCATATACACTTCTTCTATTTTTTCCATTCTCAATATAAAAAGAAAACTTGATATAATTAAAAACTGGATTGGAAGTAGACCAAATTTATATCTTAACTAATTATTTTAACTGATAGGTAATATGTGGAAGGTATCCCCCCACCCCATTAATAAATTAACTGACATCATTGATTGTTACCTAGCATTCATTTCTCCTTTTCTAAGATGATCCACATTTTTGTTCAAGAATCCACCTCTTCCCCAATCAGGTGAAATTCAAACTATTGAATTTTCAGGACAGGCTGATTCCATTTATTTCTGAATTAGGATATTTTGGGCTCTAAGAAAACTATACCCCAATCAAATCAGCTTTAATGAGGTTTTACAAAACCATGTAACTGATACAGTTCTGAGTTAGGACAACAGTCATGGATGGAAACACGGAAGGACTGAATAAGGTAGCACTTTTAAACAACAGAAGCAAGTGCTGACTGGTTAACCAAAGGACTCACTTCATTTACCATGACAAAGAGTGCTCACTGTGGCTAGGGGTTGATATATGCACTGTGTTTACCATTCTTCTCTATTTATTACTTTTATCCTGTTCCTTTTCCATCATTCTTTACTGAATATGAAGAAAGTAGATCTCTATCTAGGTTACTAGTTTGCAAAGAAGTAATTCCCTCATAGAAGCTTTGTAAATTGTTAAATTACACATAATGAATGACAATATAGCTTGAATAGGAAAGAATATTGCCCACTTTTTTAGTAAAATTTACTTAGTAAAATCGCTAGGAAATAATTTAGATCAATATCTACAGCAAATTTATCTTTAGTAAACGTATACAGTAAAGGGGGACTACATATAAACTAATATTACTCAGGATTCCCAACATAGTACTAGAAAAATACAGGAGATGAACAATACCTGTGGTGGTATCACCCCTCCACACATGACAAGAATATCTGGCCGTCCCAGGGAGTTGAGCTCTTTGATGAGCTCAGGAACCAGGGTTTTATGACCAGCAGCAAGTGTGCTCACACCCACAGCATGCACATCTGCATCCACGGCCTGCTGGGCCACTTCACGGGGAGTCTAAGCAATCAGAAAGTAAGAAACAAATCATCATTTATTCCAAAGAGTATTTTAAAACTCTTATTTACTTGATTGACATTCCAAGGTTTTCCTCATTAAAAATCTTGAAGTGAATATAACTTCGTATTTCATCATTCTTAAATCATAAATACCAACTCATCCAATTGATAAAATAAACACCAGTGCTTCATTTGCTTCTAGCCCTAGAATTTATCAATTAGATTTAAGTTACACCAAAATATAGTTCCCCAAAAAAACTTTTAGGATAAGGAATACAGGCAAAATATATTATCTCCTCACATTACAATTTTTGAAAAATACATCTGTTGTCTTATCAACATTTACTGAGTGGTTGAGAAGTATAAGACAACATGTTATAGTATCTATGAAGAAGTAAAAGACAAAATAAAATTCAATGTGAAAAGTGAATCTTAGGTTTTAAAACAGAATGGGAAAGAGCGACATTAGCAAGATGGCACACTAGGAAGCTGAGGACCTCGGTCTCCCATGAAGACACTGAACTGACAACAACACATGAATCAAAATAACATGAGAACTCTAGAAACTAGTTAAGAGGCTACAGCACCCTGGCAAATACATAAACAAGAGAAGGAATGGTGTCAAGAAGGCTGTTCTTCATTATTAACTGGATTTAACCAGTATGCTATACAGAATCATAAAGGATATTTTCAAGTATTCAGTTATGAACTGAGTTACCCAGGATCATATTCATTCTCTGCAGTGACTGTGACATTTGCTTTGATAATTTGCATGTATTTAAATAACTTCATATAAAAGATACCTACAAGTTTCCCATTGTAAATATAATGTAAATTGAGAAATTTGGGGAGGATAAAGTTATCTCAGAAACCACTGAACAATTATAAGCTCAAAAAAATTATTAAAATCTGAAGATTTCCTTAATTTGCAATATTTTAAGGCTCATAATTTCAGTGTGAAAACAAAAGATCCTATGCTCTCAGTAATGAAGCCACATTCAAGATCTCTAAGTAAATCAAACAGCATATTGGTAAAACCTTCAGTCTGTGAAAAATATAACCTATGAAATTAAAACCTTTAAGAAAATGTGCATATTCTTGGTACTAATGCATTAAGAAATTTAATTGACTTATGCATGATTGATCATTCATACCATCCATGTTACCAAATTTATTAGATTAAAATTCCATTTAAACAAGTCAGTTCTGTGCTTTATGCTTATATACATTAAACTGTATTTTATGTTACCAAATATTGAACATTTTAAAACTTCAAATCTAATTTTACTTAAGTCAGACACAGAACTGCAGGAAAGTACCTTCATCCATAGATAAGTGTTTCTTTTCTTTTTTTTAATGACAAAGTATTATGTTAACAAAGTTGGTGGTACTAAATGGCAAATTATATTTTTATAGATAGCATGTAATGGGGAAATGAACTTGCAGCTCTTTGAAAAATTCTTGTAAGTGCCAATGGATGACAACCATTGTTTTTAATTACTTTTATTTTATAAGAAATATTTCCCAAAAGCTAATTACTAAATATCAGGAATGTATTATATTTGGTCATTATTTAAAACAGACAAAGGGGCACCTGGGTGGCTCAGTCGGTTAAGCACTGGACTCTTGATTTCAGCTCAGGTCATGATATCAGGGTCCTGGGGATCAAGCCCCACATGGGGCTCCCCGCTGAGCGGGAAATCTGCTTGTCTCCCTCTCTCTCTGTCCCTCCCTCCTCTCTCTCTTTCCCCCCCTCTCTAAAACAAACAAAAAGTAAAGTAAAAGGGTAGTAGAATGTAAGTAAAAAACTAGAATGGGAAAGTATTCAACTCAATGGAAGAATGAAAGCAATCTAAATATATATCTTTATTTAATCTAAAATATATCTGAGATTTTTTTTTTTTTTTAAAGATTTTATTTATTTGACACAGAGAGACACAGCAAGGGAGGGAACACAAGCAGGGGGAGTGGGAGAGGGAGAAGCAGGCCTCCCACTGAGCAGGGAGCCCGATGCGGGGCTCGATCCCAGGATCCTGGGATCATGACCCGAGCCGAAGGCAGACGCTTAACGACTGAGCCACCCAGGCGCCCCTATATCTGAGCTTCTTAACAAAACCTAGCTTAAATGTATTTATGAATTTGCCTACCAACACAGTTCAAAGATGTTATCTCCACAAGTTCAGGCTAACTCTTCATAATAAAAACTTCTTCTAGATTCTCTACAGTAATATTTAAAAATTCACTGTTGAACACTACATCAAAAACTAATGATGTACTATATGTTGGCTAAATGAACATAATAAAAAAATTAATTAATTAAAAAAAAATTCAAAAAGGGAAAAGTCTTACAGATTCCACAGGGGATGGGCCTCTTCAGGAAGGTTTACTTCTGTGCTGGTAAAAATGCAACAAATACTCTTAAGTCTTCATCTTAGTTGACCCATCCACAGTGTGGAATAACAGTACTTCCTTTTCCCTGAAACTCTCCTTCTTCCTCAGTTTTTATCTCACTTCTCACCCCATTCCCTCCTTTGCTGCCTCCTTCTTTTTCTTTTAATGTTCAAGTTCTCATCTTGCGATATACATTCTTGATGGGAAGTTAAATCAGTTTTCACAGTTTTAAGTAATGGAGGCCTCTCTTCTATGCTCCAGACATGCATATCCAACTTACATGGTCATCTTCATCTGAATGTTCCATAAGCTGGTTCTCTTAAGCCTGCCTCCTTATCATAAATAGTCCCTTCTTTAAATTTTCTTCTCAATCTTAGCCGACTTCTGCTAAGACCCTGACACTGCCGTGGGTAAGGCCTGCCTTGTTTCTCACTCAGATTACTGAACATCTTAACTGGATTCCCTGCATCCAGTCCCAGCTCCTCTCAATCCACTTCAGAAAGTGATTTTCCTGGAAAGTGAGCTTTCTAAAGTATATATTTGATAGTCACTCTGCCTAAACACCTTTGGGATAATGTTCATACGTCTTAGAATGGCACATATAAGGCTATTCATCACAATCTACATACCGTCCCAAGCTCTGTATTCTAATCATACTGAACTTCTTAGTCACCGGAAGGCATCATGCCTTCATGACGCTGTACATCTGCACCTCTGCTCAAGCCAGCTCTTCTTAGCATGCCCTTCCCTGCTTGCTCTCTAGGCTTCCAAAAGGCACAGTTCAACCGTAAGTTCCTAGAATACTTGGACAAGTTCCTTGTTCAAACTTTAATTACATTAACTATTACTCTGCTGTGATTACTGGTAAGTAAATCTCTTTCTGTTTAGGAGTCTGTAATCTCCCTGAAGACAAAATCGTATCTTACTCAACTCAGAACCTAGCATTTGGTAGATGATCAATAAGTATATAGTGGATAAAGCTTGTAATATGAAAGTTATTACAATGTACTCAACCAAATATATTTTGTAGAGAATGACTGTTGTATCACTCTACAGAGAATTTCACTTTCATTTACTTCCAACAAATTATTAGCCTGCTGGATCAAATATTCTGTGATTAAATAAAATACTACTAGAGAATAACAAGAAGAGGATATCTAATTATGATATTCTCTCACTCTGATGCCTGATTTCCCCTTCAAAACACTTTCCACCAATCCAACGTGGGTTATCTTTCCAACAAATTATTAATCAAATCTCAATAAATGATATAAAAAGATCATTGAAAGTAACCTTCAGTTTCAGATGCCTAATAACAATTTTAGTTACTGATTTTTACAAAATCTGAGAAACAAGCACATTAACATAAATTACACTACTTTCCTATTTCTGTCATAATTAACTGGATTTATATGCATTCAAAAATAAATTGGGGAATTTGTTGAATTCATTTTCTTCTTTTACAACTTGAAAGACATCATCATGGTTTATCATCTTATCATTATTCGTTCAAAATATAAGTAATTTATGACATTCTTTTGAAATTCCCCCCAAAATTTTCAGTACCTGAAAAAGAGGACCTATGTCCACATCAAAACCAAGGTCAGCAAATCCTGTAGCGATAACTTTTGCTCCTCTGTCATGTCCATCTTGTCCCATTTTTGCCACAAGAAGACGAGGTCTGCGACCTTCACGTTCCATGAATTTATTAACCCTAAGAACATTTCAAAACACAGCAGTTGTTAAAAAGTAATAATAAAATACAATTTCTATATTAATTGTCCAAAGGTAAGACATAAAAACTAATTTATTCGCAGCAAATCTTTCAAGTTTATTTAAAAACACCTCTTTACATCTGTTTACTCACATTTTGTGAATATCTCTAATTTAAACTGAGAATTCCATTAAAGCCTGGATATGCTTACCACCTTCCCCTTAGAGGAAAGTCTGAAAGATGGCACAGCCAATAAGCCCATAACACTTGAGAATACCACAGTGAAGCAAGATGAGGAAATGACAACTTTTCACCTTTGTAAGCCAGTCTCCAGAGTATAATATGCACAAATATTTAAATATAAATTAAAAGGTGCTTTCAGAGTTATTTATACAAATGTGACTCACTAGTTGCTTTGAACTGTCTGTATCTCACCTACTCATCACAAATGTGAACTCCTCCAAGCTGACTGCGATGTGGTGTCTTCTAATGACATATACTCAAAATATCTGCCAGCTTAAATCAATAAATTTACACCCCACATCAAAAAGTACTACACTTGTTTTTGTTAAAAGAAAAAAAAAGTTCCATTCTGATGACTTTCAACTTGGATGTTTTGATATTTATCTCATATATAACTAGTGACACAAAAAGAGGGAAATTTATTACAAAGGTTGAGAAAAAAAATCATCAGGAAGCTACATTTACACCTGGGAAGTATGATCAATTTATATTAATTTATATTTCCTAATCATGTTTGACAGTGCTATTTATTGTCAGTTCGGAGAGCCTGATTTTAATTTATGCATAGATGGCAACCAAATACTTATTTTCAAACAGGAAATTATTTTATAATTATTTGAGCAATTAAACAATTTGAATAAACTTAGGAAAATATGAAAGTATACTGTAGTAAGGAGACTGAAATATAACTACCTATGGGATATGAAGCAATATCAATGTTAGTTAAAAAAACATTTTTTTTTTATTTTTTTTTATTTTTTTTTAAGATTTTATTTATTTATTTATTTGAGAGAGAGAGAAACAGCATGAGAGGGGAGAGGGTCAGAGGGAGAAGCAGGCTCCCCGCCGAGCCGGGAGCCCGATGTGGGACTCGATCCCAGGACGCCGGGACCATGACCTGAGCCGAAGGCAGTCGCTTAACCAACTGAGCCACCCAGGCGCCCAAAAAAACATTTGTTTTAAATGAGAAACTCCTAAAGGGAACTATGGTGAAAATGCAAAGTATTATATTAGTAAAACTACAGACTAACAGGAAAGTCAATTCAAATATTTTCCAAACGGTATGTGAGAAAATTAAGCCTGCAGTTGATTCACGGGGATTATGTTAACAGAAAAGACATTCTGGTGAAAGAAATCTCACATATTACCTCTTGATAGCATATGATATCTCTTTACTTTCTCCAAATTCCTGGCGATAGGCTCCACTCACCATACGATCATTAGCTTTATGTTCACCAAACACCTTTTTCATAGCATCTGTGATTTCTCCAACTGTACATCTAAAATATTAAAATAATAAAATAGAGGTTCTATTAACATCATTTGAGATAAAAATATTTACTGACTTTAATATTCAATATAATTAGACATACTTTATTACCTAAATAAGAACTATGCCATCAAAAATCTTATGGTATTGGGGGCACCTGGGTGGCTCAGTCGTTAAGTGTCTGCCTTCGGCTCAGGTCATGATCCTGGGGTCCTGGGATTGAGCCCCACATCAGGCTCCCTGCTTGGCGGGAAGCCGCTTCTCCCTCTCCCTCACTTGTGTTCCCTCTCTCCCTGTGTCTCTCTCTGTCAAATAAATAAATAAAATCTTAAAAAAAAAAAAAATCTTATAGTATTTGTCTTTCTCTGATTGACTTATTTCCCTTAAATAAGAATTTTTTTTACTGCATTGATGAAAGCATCTTTCCTCAGAATACTTATGAAAAATGATTCTGGATGTCTTTATACATAGTAAACTTTTTAACATTTGTTAACTAAAAAATAACTGAATGACTTAAAAACTATAAGTAGATAAGCATGTGAAGGTTACTGAATAATTCACCACTTAACAATACAAATAGGCAAAGAGAGCAAGATTCCCACTGATACTTTTTTTTTTTTGAGAGAGAGAAAGAATCTTAAGCAGGCTCCACATCCAGCGTGGAGCCCAAAGCAGGGCCTGATCTCACAGCCCTGAGATCATGACCTGAAGTGGAATTAAGAGTTAGACGCTTAACTGCCCGACCCACCCAGGGGCCCCTCCTGCTGATACATTTTGATAGAAAGTAAGTCTTTTAGCATATTCCATCCATTTGTTCACTAATTCATTCAACAATTAATGAATTAATAAGAATTTCATATGATAATAAGCACTACGAACACAGTGAAACAGGTGAAATGGGGTCTCTGGGAAAGCTATTCAAAGATATTGAAGATATGAAGATATAACTTTTGAACTAAGACCTAAATGATGAGAAGGAGAAACTCAAGGGAACGTAAGGGGGAAAACTGTCTGAAAAAGAAAGTACTAAATACAAAAGTTTGAGAGGTAGAAAAACATGCTCTTTGTTCTACAACTAGGAAGGACACTGGGGACGCAGCATTTGAAGGAAGCAGAGTCATATCTCACACAATCTTGCAGGCCATGCTAAGATTAGGTTTTAATTTAGAAGGCATGGGAGACCATTAGAGGACTGTAAGCAGAGAAGTTTTCTTATTTTTAAGAAATTAAAACTGGAAAAAAAAAACCAAAAAACAAAAACCCAACCCACATACTATTTACTCTACCCCTTAAGCACTTAAAACAACATGTTTTAAAAAAAGTTAATTATATTAAGCAATAAATAACAAAAGCAAAAATAATTCATTTAGTGACATCATGTATTGGGAGAAAATTTTCTGTGGTTTACAGGATCTGTTTGTTGATTTTTTAATATACCTTTAATAGCTCCACATGCTTATAGAATAGTTCCACATGCTTACAGGACAGTGGACCCTAGAGTATCATGAATAAAGCTCTATCTGCTCAAACCCTGGTGATATCCAACTACTGTACATGAATAAAATGTCTTTGGGAAAGACACTGTTTGGCTAGCTGGCCACCCAGCTCCACTGTGTCCTGCACTGCGCTCTGGCACATGGGTTCCTGGGGTGCTCAGCATGCTACCTTTCATCCAGTGAAGGAAAGGGAAAAGCTTAAGCATGTTTCCTGCTCAGAAAGGTTTCATGATGCCCTTGGTTAAGAACATACGTGAGTTCACTTATAATTCATTACTATCTAGCTGCTAAAATGACCAACCTCTGGCTTTTCTCTGGAGATGGGAAATGAGTACATGTACCTAAACAGTTCTCACTACCTTATTTTGCCAGTAACTGAATTTGACAAAAGCAATCACTTTTGCCCTGTTTTGTTCATATATTTGTAGAAATGTTTAGGTCTACATTAGCTAGTTACTAATGACCTGAAGGTATTTTCCCTCATAAGATGGACTTTCTCAAATCCTGAGGACTTCATGTTTGGTATATTTTAAATGTTAACGTTTCATTTTTAAATTTTATTTAAGAAGATTAAAGCCTCTTAATATTTATATGTTTAAAAAACCATGAATGCTGTAAGTGCACAGATATTTAAGAAAAATAAAAACTAACTTCATTTGAGTTTCCAATATTTTTGTTTCAGCTCACATGGTTTATATGATCAACCTTTTATTTAAGTACACGTTGAAAAGTTAAACTGGTCAACTTCTGGTATTTGGAAATCTCCAAACTTAAATACCCTCACCTCGCACGAGCTGCATCCACTGCAAGAGCCAGAATATTCCCATCTCCACTGGCAGCACATTCAGTAAGTGCAGCTAGACACCGTTCAGCCAAATCTTGATCCCTGCTGCATTTGACCTTATGAAAAAGGTCAAGAAAAGGGACAATTTACATGAACAGAGAATAAAACAGAGATCAGGAAATCAGACACTGATATACATCACACAGAAATTGTTCCATAATCCTAAACTCAAAAACAAAAGGAAAAAAAAAGGAGAGAATAATATGTATCCTAGGTCTGATACTCATTCAATTTATTCATTCACTCATTCAACAAACATTTAAGGACTTCCTAAAATAATACTGAATTCCATAATCCTGATAAATCAGAAACAAGCAAGGTTAACAATAAATAATAGTGGTGACTCTCCCAAGTAGTACATGCTACTTAGGCTTTACTAATGTAACAAGACATCAAAACCAGGTAGATGTTTTACATGCGTAATTTCAAAGGCACACTAAAGAATAATAGTGACAAGGATGAAAAAATAATAATAATAGATTACAACTTCAAGAATAGTTCAGTTATATGTTGTTTTCCTTAGCTAATTAACAATATATTGGTAATAATATGTATGTGTATGATTTTTCTTTAGTTAAAAATAATCCAAAGAGGGGCGCCTGCCTGGGTGGCTCAGTCAGTTAAGCGTCGGACTCTTGATCTCAGCTCAGGTCTTAATCTCTGGGTTGTGAGTTTAAGCCCTGTGTTGGGCTTAAAAAATAAAAATAAAAATAATCCAAAAAGAGAGAAAAGAGATAATGAGAAATACTTCAACAGAGACAAAAAGACAATGAAAAGCATGGTCAAAAACTTTTCCCCTCAGGTCCTAGCTCTACTCTGCTCTGCCAACAACCTGCCTAAACAAAGTTATCTAAAATCCAATTTTTTACAAGTTTACACCACCTATAAAAAAGTCTAAAATATGATACTGCTTAAGATGCTACTAATATATAATACCTATAAGCAGAAGTGGACCAGAAATCCTATACTAAGGGCAAGGAAAAATCCAATTCCATCATCACTAGTGAATTTCTCTCTTGCCTAAAATAAAGTTTAACATCACTTATGGCAAATGGAACCCCTCAAGCTGTGAGGGTGCAGAGTTAATAAAAGCCTAAAGTATAAGAGAGAAGAAAAGTTTTCCAAATATAATAAATGTTGAGACTTTTGTGATGACTGAAAATAAAATGCTACATCCTAAATAGTACCTTTTTAAAAAACGACAAAAATGTGAGAGAGGAGTCATTATCTCCTGATTGAGGGTGAAAAAAGAAATAATGTCATTAAACGTCTGCCATTTAAAAAAATGGAAGAGCGGGACACCTGGGTGGCTCAGTTGGTTAAGCGACTGCCTTTGGCTCAGGTCATGATCCTGGAGTCCCTGGATCGAGTCCTGCATCGGGCTCCCTGCTCGGGAGGGAGCCGGCTTCTCCCTCTGACCCTCCCCTCTCTCATGTGCTCTCTCTCTCTCTCATTCTGTCTCAAATAAATAAAATCTTTAAAAATATATATATTTTAAAAAAATGGAAGAGAATAGTCGTGCATTCAGTCTAACTGAACAAAGTCTATTAGATTCCTAAAGAACATCTGAACTGAGGAGGGAAAAAAGATCTTAAAATTATCACAGGGAAAGTAAACCGAGGAAAACCATTAAAGATCACTGAAAAATGTCAAGTTTCTTGCCTTAGAAATAACAGTAATTATAAAAGCCAGAGATTAAGAGACCACGGTAGCGTCATACAATAGAAATATGTAAGTTACAACTATAAGAATATGTTTTATCTATCTTGGTATCTCAAATACATTGATTCATCTTGGCAAGAAATTGGAAATAAAGTTAGGATAGTACTGTAGTTTCAATCAAAATAATTATCTTTCATTTATAAACTATCTTACTAAGGCACCATTAAGATATATTTGACTTAAAAAAAAAAAACCGAAAGCAAATGATTCTTTCATAGTAGTATCAGAAGCCATGGTCTAGTGGAAACAAATTATAGTGAGAAGCCCTGGGTTCAGATACTCTGAACTTAATTTGTTTTTAATTTTGAGCGAGTTACATAATCATTTAAGCCTTTGTTTTAATCTGTAAATTATGGGAGGTATTATTATTATTATAGTGGTTTTTGATAACAATATGTAAGTTTCACAGAAGCAGTTGTAATGATTTAAAACATCAGTGTTTGGTGTCAACAGACTTAGATTTGAGTCTTGGCTATTCAATTATTCCGGGCAAGTTTCTTAATCTCCCTTATCTTTAGTTTCCTTAACTTTAAAATGTTGGGAAATAATACCCACCTCATGTGGTTGTTATAAGGATTAAGCAAGACAATGTAAGGGCTTACAGTGCCCAGAACACAGAAAGCACTCAAAAAATGATAACTATTATTACCTTCTTGAGTTTTTCAATCTGTTTGTTACGCACTGAAGTATTATCAATTGCCAGAACTTCCACAGATTCTTCTTTATCCAATTGGTACTTATTTACTCCAACAATTATTTCAGAACCTATTAATTTTCCAGAGGAAAATAATATGTAGATTCTATTCACAAATAATTACCTAATAGTAATGCTCTGATCATCAAATACTTTCCTTATAAGCTTAAAATTTTTAAGTAGTATTCTTAAATCTTAATGAAACTTCAATATAGATCAGCAAAGCAAATCCCAATAAAATGGGGATGAGAGGAGAAAAGAACAGGTATGTATCAGAATCTCTGTAAGGGAGGACTTTTATTATTCTCCCAAACTATATGCTTCCCTAGAGTTTCTGATAAACCCTCTTCTAACACCACAAAATTAAAATAATAATAGCAGCTGCTACATCAAGATTTATAAGGAAGAGGATTCACATCCAAAAGTATTTCCAATGTATTTTTGAATTCTCACTTTTAACAAAAAGTACTTTTAAAATTTGTAAGTAATAAACCAGAATTATAAAGACATTTCCTTAACATAGTAAGAATATATTTAGCCTCAAATTATCAGATTATTACTGTATCTAAAGACATCCTGCCATCCACCCCTTCCCCTTATTTCCTTTATAGAACTCATCACAATCTATAATTATCTTGTTTATTTATTTGTTTACTTGCTCATTTTCTCTCTCTCTTACTAAAATATAAGCTCTAAGGGTGCAGAGAGCTTATCTGACCTATTCACAGTTGTATGCCCAGACATAGTACAGTTCCTCAAATGCTAAATACTAAAAAAGTGTTGACTGACTGAATGAATAAATACTCTAATGCAAAGCACAATGACCAATAATAATATCATCTTTAAAATGCTGGAGATTGGGGCGCCTGGGTGGCTCAGTCGTTAGCATCTGCCTTCGGCTCAGGTCATGATCCCAGGGTCCTGGGATCGAGCCCCGCGTCGGGCTCCCTGCTCAGCGTGAAGCCTGCCTCTCCCACTCCCCCTGCTTGTGTTCCCTCTCTCTCGCTGTGTCTCTCTCTGTCAAATAAATAAATAAAATCTTAAAAAAAAAAAAAATTAAAATGCTGGAGATACCCACCTATACATGTATATACAATGGGCATACCTCCACACATACTCTACATATGCTTACCTGTGTGCATCCATGCATGCAAAAATGCAAACAGGGAGATGGATAGAGAGACAGAGAGATAGAGAGAGAGATAGATAAGTAGATAGAGATGAGAAACATTTTATCCAAGTTTCATTTTTCCATTATTTTTGTTTTATTAACTACATATGTTATCTTCAAACAGAAATTAATATTTCTTTTTAAGTAAGGATTTCACATATAAACGTTTTCATTTTATCTTACCAGAATCTATTCTTGCTTGCCTTCGGGCAGCACATTCTTCAATTCGAAGTTTAGGTATTCCTTCCGCTACAGCTTTGGCCATTCCACCCATCTCTTCAATTTCATCAATGAGCTAATAAGAAAAAGAGATTAATAAAACTGGAAAAGAATATAAAGATTTTTTTATAAACTATACAAATTAGTTACATCACATAATTACTAATATTAATAAAGTCGTAACTATTTTAGTTGTAAGTTTAATGTTTCATAAGAAAAGAATTAAGTTGACTTCAAGAGCATTAATTAGAAATTCTACAGAGTTAGGGGTGCCTGGCTGGCTCAGTCAAGGGAAGCATGCAACTCTTGATCTTGGGTTGGTGAGTTTGAGCCCCACGTTGGGTGCAGAGATTACTTAAATGAATAAATAAAACTAAAAAAAAAAAAGAAAGAAAAAAATTCTACAGAGTTAACAATACACTATTGTGTATTTGAAAGTTGCTAAGACAGTAGATCTTAAAAGTTCTTATCACAAGAAAAACAATTTTATAACAGTGAGGTATAGATAGTAACTAAACTTATTCTGTTAATCACTTCACAATTCATACATATATCAAAGCATCATGTTGTATATCTTAAGCTAACACAACAATATATGTCAATTATATCTCAATTTAAAAAAGAAATTATGGGGGCGCCTGGGTGGCTCAGTTGGTTAAGCGACTGCCTTCGGCTCAGGTCATGATCCTGGAGTCCCGGGATCGAGTCCCATATCAGGCTCCCGGCTCAGCGGGGAGCCTGCTTCTCCCACTGACCCTTCCCCTCTCATGCTGTTTCTCTCTTGTTCCCTCTCTAATAAATAAATAAATAAAATCTTTAAAAAAAAAAAAAGAAATTATGTACTTAAAGTTACTTGAAAACAGAAAAACTAAGATGTAGATTCTGGAAAACACAGAACGTCTCACTCAAGTCTTGGAAAAAAACTAAAAATAACATCAATTCTCTCATCTTTATTTTCAGTTACATAAATAAATATTCTTTAAAAATATATTTCAAAATGCAATTTTAGTTTTGATTTGAGCAGCAGAGTAATGATATAACTCCAGCTTTACTGATACTAGGAAACATCTAAGCCTTTAATCACAGCCTCATATATTCATGAGATGGTGGGAAAAGGAATGGTGGAAGAGTATATGACTTAGCAGAAAAGAACAAAGTTAAACTTGTTTTTTCCTGAAGAATTCAAGAAATAAGAATTCATGTTGGATTCAAAAGAAGCCAAAGGTAAGATAGGAAGCTAAAAAGATGGGGGACTACTTTAGAATTTGTAACTACCCCTCTCCCATTCTGTCAAGAGAACCAAAGTTTACTGCCTGCAGAAAATGGACCAAAGTCTACTTTGGCAGAAAAGCAATGGGCTATCAAACATCAAGTACAGAAAGAGGCAAGGGCAAGATGTCTTGTTGAAATAAAAACCTGCATTCTGAATAATACCACTAAAGACAAAAGGCACATAGAGAAAACAGACAATACAGGATGTAGAAGAAAACTTCAAAAAATGTAATTAATATCCTCAGGAAAAAAATAGATTCTGTTTTAATTAAACAAGTAGTATAATATACAAGGGAGAAAATCAGAAAACAAAACCCAGCTTTTAGAAATTAAAAATATGATATATGAATTTTAAAGTAAGTAGAAATTTAAAGTTGATGACTCTCCAAGAAAACAAAACAGAATCTCATGGATGAGTTATAGAACAGATAAGAACATCAGAGTATCTTTTAAGGAGGTCCTTATCCAATAACTAGGAGTTCTAGAAAGAGGAACCACAAAAAAATGGCAGGAAGGAAATTACCAAAAAGTAATACAAGACAATTTCCCAGGGCTATGAGAACATGAAAAATGGGGGAGATAAAAAATGCCCACCGAAGGTCCAGTACAATGCAGGAAAAAATACACACACCAAAGTCCAGCAACTCAAAAATAAAGAGATCCTAAAACTGTTAGAAAGTTCCTGAGAGTGAAAATAGCATCAGATTTCTAAACAGAAATAGTGGAAGCTAGAATAAAAAGTTAGGATAAAAAGTAGATCCACGCTTACACACTTCCAAATGAAAGTAATTTCAAACACAGTTAGACTATCCATCAAATACCAGAGGAGAACGAAGACATTTTCAAACATCCGAAGTTCCATATAAGTCATCTCCCATTTACCACTTTTAGAGGAGGTTCCTATGAGGTATGCTTCAAAATAACAAGGGATAAATCAACAGAGGTAGACACAGGATTCAAGATACAGATTCAACATAGCAGAGGTAAAAAGAATTCCCAGGATAATGGCAAAGGGCAGTCAAAGGGCCGCAATGGTCAGCACGTCTAAAGAGAAACCAGTCGATATCAAATGAGAGCACTGGAGGACTTCAGAAGGATATATATACTATTCAGATATAATTGTATAGTATTATGAGACAAGAAAAAGCAGAGGTAAGAATCAGCTAAAATACTAAACTACATACTACAAAGCAATAGATAATGCCTAAAATTGATGGAATTAGACCTTGTATATATGTGTAATTCTAAAATATGGAGATACAAACAAAAAAAGATGTACTGATTCAAGGAAGCAGGAAAAAAGCAAGCAGAAGACAAAGAACTGTTTTTTTTATGTTATAACGTTTTAACACTCATAGTCTTTTTAACTCTTTGAACAAAATATTTATTACAAATACAAATATATTTTTAAATTATGTTTCCATTTGTATACTCTTAAAGTTGAATCTAAAATTCTTTTTCTCTCATTTTATAAATCTTGATATAAATCTATCAATGATTTGATTTATAAATCAAAATACCTATAAATCTTTATAAATCTGTAAATCTTAAAACCAAAGTTTCAAAGAAGAGAAACTGACCTTCAAGGCAGCATCATAAACATCATTTGTGAGAGATTCCATCATATAAGAACCTCCCCAAGGATCAGCCACTTTGGGAATCCCAGATTCTTCTTGAATAATGATTTGTGTATTCCTCGCAATTCGAGCACTTTTCACAGTTGGCAAACCCAAGGCTTCATCAAAAGAATTTGTGTGCAAAGACTGAGTCCCTCCAAACACTGCTGCCATTGCTTCTACTGTAGTACGAATAATGTTATTGTAAGGATCCTAAAACATTTAGTGAAAAAGAAAAAGTCAAAACAAGGCAACAGTTGATAAAAGATGCTATGATTAAGCAGTGGCTTCTGCATACTTATTTTGCCAATGTCTATATTAGGCTTCAGAATATCCAATAAATTTAGACAAATTAGTAAACAAGCCAGATTTAACAGGCACTCAACAAATGATTTATTAATAAATGATCAAAGAAACAGATGAACAATGTACTATGAGATAAAAAATCTGCGACTCATTCTGTTTCTGATTGTGCTTTGGGTAAATCATTGGACCTTTCTGAACTTTAGCTTCATTAGCTGTAAAAAGAGGTTAAGACAAAAATGATTATTAAAGTTCCTTCCAACCCTGAAACTGTACTTCTCCATTTATAAGTACCTGAAGTCATATTTAATATGGCTATATTAGTTTTTATTCACTTTTAAGTGTATAAAAGCATTGTAACTTTAAAGTTATAAATTGGGGCGCCTGGGTGGCTCAGTCGTTAAGCGCCTGCTTTCGGCTCAGGTCATGATCCCAGGGTTCTGGGATCGAGCCCCACATCGGGCTCCCTGCTCCGCGGGAAGCCTGCTTTTCCTTCTCCCACTCCCCCTGCTGTGTTCCCTCTCTTGCTTTATCTCTCTCTGTCAAATAAATCTTTAAAAAAAATAAAAATAAAAAAAGTTATAAATTATTTTTAATGTATCAAAATAATTTAGTATGTAAATAAAATGCATGGAAAAAGATTACCACACAACTTTCTAATAGAATGAAATTAAATTACTCAGATGATAATAGTCTTTAAATGGGTCTGTTTGCATGCATGAACACATAACTAAAATAAGTAATATATATGCACAAAATTTTAATCAGGCAATTTTATATTAAGAATTTTAACTCAAAATTATTTAAGACTGATATTAACTAAATTATGGTTTTTACTTCTTCCTCATCAACACAGTTTTTTTTTTACTTTTAAAAAGGTAAAACAGCAATACAGGTTAAGTTGATTTATATGATTTTATATTGTTAACCACTAGAGGGAGCCAGTTTTATTTATTATAATACGTGTTAAAAAACATTAAATGTGCATTATGCATCAGAATACTTATAATTTTCAAATATTAACAGATGGGTTCTTAAATCTACTTCCTGACTGCGCTATGTTGCTTGTAAGACAATATATGACTTTACTAAACCTCTATACTTTAAAATATATATATATACCTGCTCAGTAAGTGACCATCCTGATGTCTGACAATGTGCTCTCAGAAGAAGAGATTTAGAGTTTTTAGGCTGAAACATTTTCTCTATTAAGTGAGCCCAGAGTCTTCTCCCAGCTCTCATTTTTGCTATTTCCATATAAAAGTTCATCCCAATTCCCCAGAAGAAAGACAACCTAAAATAGTAATGTTAAGTCCATTATTTGATGAAGCTTAACAATATAAAATGGAAAATAAAACTAATTATATCACACACTAAAGAAAATAGTGTCCAGATTTTAATTTCAAACAATTTAATCTGAATTAAAATCAAAGCATATACAAGCTGGTGCAACCACTCTGGAAAACAGTATGGAGGTTCCTCAAAAAGTTGAAGATAGAGCTACCATTTGATCCAGCAATTACACTACTGGGTATTTACCCCAAAGATACAAATGTAGGGATCCGAAGGGGTACGTGCACCCCGATGTTTATAGCAGCAATGTCCACAATAGCCAAACTGTGGAAAGAGCCAAGATGTCCATCGACAGATGAATGGATAAAGAAGATGTGGTATATATATATATATATATATATATATATACATACACAATGGAATATTATGCAGCCATCAAAAGGAATGAGATCTTGCCATTTGCAACGACGTGAATGGAACTGGAGGGTGTTATGCTGAGCGAAATAAGTCAATCAGAGAAAGACATGTATCATATGATCTCACTGATATGAGGAATTCTTAATCTCAGGAAACAAACTGAGGGTTGCTGGAGTGGGGATTGGGGTGGGAGGGATGGGATGGCTGGGTGATAGACACTGGGGAGGGTATGTGCTATGGTGAGCACTGTGAATTGTGCAAGATTGTTGAATCACAGATCTGTACCTCTGAAACAAATAACACATTATATGTTAAGAAAAAAAAAAAGAAGATAGCAGGAGGGGAAGAATGAAGGGGGGGAAATCAGAGGGGGAGACGAACCATGAGAGACGATGGACTCTGAAAAACAAACTGAGGGTTCTGGGGTGGGGGGTGGGAGAATGGGTTAACCTGGTGATGGGTATTAAAGAGGGCACATTCTGCATGGAGCACTGGGTGTTATGCACAAACAATGAATCATGGAACACTACATTTAAAACTAATGATGTAATGTATGGTGATTAACATAACAATAAAAAATTTAATTTAAAAAAATCAAAGCATATATACTTAAGTAACTTTAAACCTAACAGATAAAAGTACAGTTTTAGGCACACAGAAGAAAGAGCTGTGATTATTTGCTTCAGGTAGGAATTATTCACTTTAAAAATTGGTTTTTTGGTTTTTAGAAAAGAAGTTCCTCTTGTGCCCTCAAATAAAGAATGAATCACTATCCAAAAATAAAATACTTCAAGAATACCTGGTATGTAAGTCAGGGGTCACCTGTGAAAGGACTAAAACCACCAACTTGTTTTCTTTGGATATCAAGAAAGTTTTCCTGTTTTTTGTTTTGTTTTGTTTTTAAAGAATAATTATATATTTGGTCTAGGCATTTATCTCTCCAATTGCCCCCAAACCCACTACTCCTTTTTATTTTATATTCTGCAGCTGAGTTATACATTTAGTTTACTTGCCTATGCCTAAAGGCACAAAGACTGTGTTTCTTTATATAAGACAAGGTGAGCCTTAAGTAAAGAAACTAAAAACTAATAAAAATTAGGGACGCCTGGGTGGCTCAGTCAGTTAAGCGTCTGCCTTCAGCTCAGGTCATGATCCCAGGGTCCTGGGATCGAGTCCCGCATCGGGCTCCCCGCTCTGCGGGGAGCCTGCTTCTCCCTCTGCCTCTGCCTCTGCCTCTCTCTATCTCTCATGAATAAATAAATAAAATCTTTAAAAAAAAAATAAAAATAAATAAATAAAAACTAGTAAAAATTCTTGATATACCCTGGGAAGTTCTTAACACTGCTGTTCTCAAATACTGTCTCAGGATACCTTTTCATTCTTAAAAATTACTAAAGACCCCAACAAATCTTTATTTGGATAATATCTATCAATATTTTACATATTAATTCATTTAGAAACAACAACAAACATGTTAACATAATTAACACTTTTATGAAAAATAATTATACTTTGCTAAAATAAAAAATTGTAATAAAACAGTCACTGTTTTACATTTTTGCAAATCTAATGTGTGGCTTCAGGGAAGACAGCTGGAATCAATATCTGCTTCTACATTCAAACTGTTGCAACATCACATATCATGTAGCTTCTGGAAAACAACAGTGTACACTTTTGAAAGAAGGGAGGTGAAAAAGGCAGATAAAGTCTTAATACAATCATGAAAACAATTTAACCTGAAAGACCCCAGGAAGGGTAGTGACCCTGAAGAGTCCTTGGACCACACTTTGAGAAATGCTGTCATAATATGTATAAAGGTATAAAGGAGCATTCACCAGTCTATAAACAATCTGAGGACAGAAGTCATGTCTTTTCACAAGTTTTTTTTTCCCCCAGCACATAAGCTGGTACTCAGCCCAGAGCAAAACTTAGCAATTATTGTTTAGCTGATCAATTTTTGATCACCAAATTTTAGCACTTCATGAACTTCAAAGCTCTTCCACATTTTTTTAAGATTTATTTATTTATTTGAGAGAGAAAGAGAGCACGAGCAAGAGGGGGAGAGGGAAAGGGAGAGAGAATCTCAAGCTGACTCCACACTGAGCAAAGAGCCTGACACAGGGTTCGATCTCAGGACCCCGAGATCATGACCTGAGCCAAAACCAAGAGTTAGATGCTCAACCAACTGCGCCACCCAGGCACCCCAAGCTTTTCTGTATTTTTCATACAACTTTATTAACAAGCTATTTTGAAACAAAAATGTTTTAAATAGCACTGTGCATTCCAAAACATTTACATTATGTAAGTGCAACAGGAAAAAAATGAAATAAATGACTTTTTTAAATGGAAAATTAAAAGAATAAAAGCTAATACGCCTGAAATATGATGTTGACATTTTAATTGTCAAAATATGTCAGGTAATTGTATTTTCTGAATAGCTGGAAACAAGATTCTTCTAATTACCAAAAAGTAGTCAAATTTAATTCTGATTTTTAATTATACACAGTATTGGCTTATTTTCTCATTATTACTCCAATAAAACATAAGAGGATCTAGGTATGACATTTATAGATACCAATTTATTTTATCAGTAGATCTACTGTAAATTGGTCCTGAAAATTTTCCTAGTATTGAGACAATGTCTGAGGTCAATTTACTCACCTTGGTGCAAATTCATCAATTGTCAGACCAGCTTGGAGTCCAGTTCTACAGTATTCCAACCCATCTGCTATAGTATAGGCCAGTTCCAGAATGGCATCAGCCCCTGCTTCCTGCATATGGTATCCACTAATTGAAATTGAATTAAATTTTGGCATGTGCTACATAAAATAATAAAAAATATAACAGTGAATAAAAATTTTAAAAGGCTCTATTAAACCCATTTTCTAAAAGACTATTATTTTTAAATGATATTCAACTCAGATATACTAAGTAGTCTTTAGTATTAACTGAAAATATTTAATGCTTACTTTGTTACATTTAACTCACTCCTCAATTTAAGTGGTGATTCAACGAACCATCGTAAAAACTGCACCTGTTTTATTTTTCTAGTGAAAAAGAATCTGCACTAACCATTCTTTAGAGTCAAAGTTTAAACTCTGAAATTAGTTAGTTGAGGTTAGGAATGCAACCTTTAGTCTGAGAACTGAATAAGCCATCTTTAATTCTAAACCAATGACTATGACCTCATGAGGTCCTAAGATCTCATAACTTTGGGCTAATCTGCTAAAAATATATAAATTAAATTTTATTAGTTATCAATTTCCTTATTTGAGTAAAGTCAAGTATATGGTGGGGGGGAGGGGAGAGAAAATGATTCAATCCTTAGGACTATATATTGAAACAAAACAGGATAAAATACATGGCTTAAAAATCAAAGATTTCAATTTGATTTACTGTGACATTTTTAAAATTTATTTTTATTTAAATTCAATTAACATATAATGTATTATTGGTTTCAGAGGTAGAGGTCAGTGATTCATCAGTCTTATATAATACCCAGTGCTCATTACATCACGTGCCCTCCTTAATTTCCATCCCCCAGTTATCCCATCCTCCTAACCCTTTCCCCTCCAGCAACCCTATTTGTTTCCTATGCTTAAGAATCTCTTATGGTTTGTCTCCCTCCCTGATTTCATCATTTTATTTTTTCCTCTCTTCCCCTATGATGCTCTGTTTTGTTTCTTAAATTCTACATATCAGTGAGATCATATAATTGTCTTTCTCTGAATTATTTCGCTTAGCATGACATTTAATGCTAAGCATATCCCAGACAGGTTTTTTTCCTGCCAAAATCACTAAGAGAATGGCATTTCAGGGGGCACCTGGCTGACTCAGTGGATGGAGCATGTGACTCTCAATCTTGGGATTGTGAGTTTGAGCCCCACATTGGGTGCAGGGATTACTTAAAAAACTAAAATAAAAAGATTAGAAAAAAGATGACATTTCCACCATTCTCCTAAAACTTTTAATTAGGTAGGGTACATATCACACATATTCTGCCCAAGCCCCCAAATTATTATCCTTCCCAAGAGGTGCCAAACATAAAATAATAAAAACTAAATCATTGATATTCAATATGGTAATTAAGAACACGGGCTCTAGAGTCAGAATGCTCAAAGTCTAGATGGACTCTGAAAAACAAACTGAGGGTTCTAGAGGGGAGGGGGGTGGGAGGATGGGTTAGCCTGGTGGTGGGTATTGAGGAGGGCACATTCTGCATGGAGCACTGGGTGTTAGGCACAAACAATGAATCATGGAACACTACATCTAAAACTAATGATGTAATGTATGGGGATTAACGTAAGAATAAAAAAATTAAAAAAAAAAAAGCTGTCACCTGAAATATGAACAAGAATCAGTCAGGTTTTAAAAAGGAGAGTAGGAAAGAATGTTTAAGAAAAATGAACAGTCTGGGCAAAGGTCCTGGGGCAAGAAAGAAAGTATATGAAATAACAAGTGTTGGCAAGGATGTCGAGAAAGGGGAACCCTCATGTACTGTTGATGGAAATAAAATTTGGTGTAGCCACTATGGAAAAAAAAAAAAAAAAAAAAGAATGCTCGAAGTCTAGCTGTGTCACTTAACTAGCCATATAACTTTAGGCAAGTTTCTCACCTTTGTTATTCCGGGCTTTCTAAAATATAAAACAGAGGTAGTAATTATGCCTTCCTCATGGAGTTGTAGGATTAAATGAAATGATTCACCTAAAACACTTAGTATTATGCCAGTATGCAGTAAGCATTCAAAAAGTGTTACTTGTTGTTAACATAAGCTATAGATCTGTAATTTACATTTTTGAATATTTTATTTATAATTAACCAAAAGCACTTGAAAAATGTTCCATCGCAAAAAAAATAAGGGGATTGAATTACATGGAAGTGAGAGACTACTTGAGTATATGTAGAGTTTATAAATAAAAAGCAATAAAACAAACAGGTGCTTCTCTACAAAGAGTAGTTTAGTAGAATTTCTTTAAAAATAATAGAAATACTGGAATATTGGAATATTATTCAGCCTTAAAAAAGAAATTAATTCTGATACATGCTACAACATGGCTGAACCTTGAGGACACTATGCTAAGTGAAATAAGCCAGTCACAAAAAGACAAATATTGTATGATTCCACTCAGATGATGTAGCTAGAGTAGTCAAATTCAGAGATAGGAAGTGGAAAGACAGTTTCCAGGAGCTGGAGGGAAAGGAGGATGGGGAGTCATTATTTAACAGATACAGAGTTTCAGTTCTGCAAGATGCAGAATTCTGGAGATGGATGGTGGTGATGGTTGCACAACAGGGTGAATGTACTTGATGCCATGACCTGTACACTTCAAAACAGTGAAGATAGGAAATTTTATGTTATGTGTATTTTGCTACAATTAAAATTATTTTAAAAAATATAGAAGTTGACAATTTACAAAGTACTTCAGTATAACTTTATTAGATCAGTATATGAAACCAGCATTTTTATCACTTATATGAAGGATTATATAAAGCAATTTTGAGCTTAAAGATGACATTAGGAGCTTTCAAAAGGTGAAATGCCCAAGTACATAACAGCACAAACTGTACAAACTGCTACTAGCCACTCAATTCTCCACTCTCCTCCTGTAATACCTGAACCATAAATGCAGAGTGCATATACAAGGACTATACTTCCAATCTTCTCTCACTACTATGGGTGTCCACTGAGATACAAATGAGATTAGGGCTTCTTCCTTCTGGAAGTTTATCTTATATCAGAGGAGCTTGGACACATCCAAGCCCATCCACTTCCTCAACCATAAGCTGGCATACTAACAATAGAGGACAAGCAAGATTAAAGGAGCCTGGAACCCTAATGACTGTGGAGCTACCATACAACCAAGCTCTTGACAGCCTACTGTCCAACTTTTTTAGATGAAAGAGAATCGACTCCTACTTAGTTTAAGCTACTGCTATTTGTGTATGTGCGTTTGTCACATGCTGCTAAATGTAATCCTGTGCATATGTTCTTGAAATTGAAAAGGGGGATAAAAATATACAATTCTAGACAATACAGTTCACATAGGCAAATAGGATCTATGAAAAGAAATAAATTTGCCAAGTGTAAAGGCTGAATATCAATAAGGAGAGTAAGCAATGCTTGCAAGAGTTCTGAGACAACAGCAATTATAAGAGTAAGAGATTAAAAAAAAAGTTTCATGGTGGAGGAGACATTGGGCCTTTGCCATGAAATAATATAGTCTAATTTTAAGGTAGGTTAAGAGAAGCAGAGAATTGCCAGCAAGCAGCAACATGTGAGTGATGCAGGAAAATACATATTAATTACTCAGAGGAAGATGAAGCTTTATGTTTCCCTGTGGAGGGATTACTACTAACATAGGAACACTATAAGAACCTTCTTTTCCCACCACTCTGATGGGGAAGATGAACCTAATTCAGGGGTGAAATATGAGGGACCTCATTGTAGATGCAGATACAAGTGATATCTTATTAAGCTGATAATTTGATCCCCAGCTGTCTGACACCAGTGTATACTTCAAAACTGAATACGAATTCTGGAAAGAAATTAAAAAAGTATAAATTATGAGCCCTCCTTGATTCTAACAATTATCAGAAGATAAAAATTTTAATAAAGAAAAATACAGTAAATGTCTAATGCCCAGAATCCTATAGGTAACAGAGTATAAAATGAGTACATTAAAAGCAAAAAAATACAAACTAACAGCACACATACAAATAAAACCCATACTCTGACTTTATATTAAAACTATTATTCAGACTCACTTATCAAATTCAAATTAGGTTATAATATTTTATAAAAATTCCTACATCCAAAGAAGTAAAGCAAAACCCATAAGAAGCAGAAAGTACCTGTGCTGTATATTGGAAGATGTCAGCAATAATTCTCATGGATGGTTCTGGAGGAAAAATATAAGTATTTCTGACCATAAACTCCTTTAGTATATCATTCTGGATTGTACCAGTAAGTTTCTCTTTAGGTACGCCTTGTTCTTCTCCAGTTACTATAAAAGTTGCAAGAACTGGAATAACTGCTCCATTCATGGTCATGGAAACTGACATTTTTTCTAAAGGAATTCCATCAAAAAGAATTTTGGTATCTTCCACGGTGTCAATAGCAACTCCAGCCATTCCAACATCACCACGAACTCGAGGGTTGTCTGAATCATATCCACGATGTGTGGCCAGATCAAAAGCAACTGATAATCCCTGCTGACCAGCTAAATACATAAAGAAAAACAATGTAGGTTTAAGGAGTCTGGCATCAAAGTAAACTAATTTAAATTAACACTACTATAGGTGTTGATTCGTCTCATCATTGTATACTTTTAAAACAGACATTTTTATGCTCATACATGTCAAAACAAATTAAGATACTTCATTTTCCTAAGTTGTTTACTATGTGGTAAAATGCACAAAATGAGTTGCAGAACAGAAAGAATAAAACATCTCACTTATCTCATGTCTGAGGATTTTTTTTTATCTTAGCAATTTTTTTTAATAACTGAAAGTTTGTACTTCTTAATCCCCTTTACCTATTTTGCCCTTATCTAAATAATTTAAAGTAGAAATACTTTTTAAGATTCATGAAAAGATCTGGCTGTTTACAAATAGTTAACATCATTTGTATCTGTATGCTTACTTATTTTTGTTTTTGTATTTAATATGGTCATAACAAGATGTCTTGGCTATTCAAATATTCTGGGAAACAGAATTAGGAACACCATGAAAAAAACTAAAATAGTCTAGACTAAACATAAGGTCAATACTCCATGTGCAATATACATTTATAAGTCCTCAAAATTAGCATTCAAACAATATGATTTTAATACAGACCACATAGAAGAAATAGTAGTTAATATAATTTTCAGAGACATGAATGCCAGACTGCACTAAATATATTTGTACATTATCAATTGTTTATTACTTTATTTGGGCATCTTTTAAACCATTTTCCCCTTCAATTCCTATCTTGACAATGTTAATTAAAAGCTTCTCAAAGAAAAAGCCAAGGTCTGTTTTTATCATACAACTTCACCTAATTCCTTTTACATAATGTGCATTTTTTTTAAGATTTATTTATTTATTGGGGGGGGCACAGAGGGAGAGGGAGAGAGTCTTTTTTAAGTAGACTCTGCACTGAGCACTGAGCGCAGAGCCCAACACAGGGCTTGATCTCAAGACCCTGAGTTCACAACTGAGACAAAACCAAGAGTCAGATGCTCAACTGACTGTGCCATCCAGATGCGTCCATAACCTGCATGTTAATTGTTGTTGGCATTCAAGAATTTAGCACCTTAATCTGGCTCACCCATTCTTTTGACCACGGAAGTTGAAAAACATTCATCTTTCAGAGTACAGTCTTGACTACAAAATTATAAAGTGACTATCATCTTTATAGAGATTAACTAGTCTCCCTTCAAAAGAAGCCAAGAACAGGAAATGTATGTTTGATTATAAATATTATGTGTTACATTAAAATCTCACCCTTAATATTATCTTTATAGAACCTATTGCTTTCTTCCACAGTACTAAAACCAGCATACTGGCGGATAGTCCAGGGCCTAAACGTGTACATGGTGGGATATGGTCCACGTGTGAATGGCTTCACTCCTGGAAGTTCTTCAGGGAAGTCCTTGGTATCCCTGCTAGAATATAAAGGCTTTATGGAGATCCCTTCTGGAGTGTGCCATATTAAGTCTTCTGGGTTTTTGCCTTTCAACTGCTTTTTAGCCAGGGCAGCCCATTCTGGATGAAGGGGTTGTCGCTGATGCAGAAGTCGCTGCCATATAAGCCTGGATCCTGGTGACTCTTTGAGCTGCTTCAGGTGGTGTGGTGAAAGCAAAAGAAGCCGAGTCTTAGCCCTCAACATGATGGACCATGAAAAACACTCAAAAGGAACAAGAACTGGCCTAGAAAAAGAAGCAGAGTACACATGTATCTACAAAAGGCAAAATGGGAACTATTGGTGAGAAGGGAATAAAGGTGGCATTTTAGTATCTCTTCTCCTTTTCTGGTTCCTATATTTGGTATTTTATAACTTTGGCCCCTCTTCTCCACAACCACTATCATTGTTCGTCTTTTTCCTCAGTACTTTCTTAGCTGGGTTTACCGCCAGTCTTAGACCCTCTAATCCATTCTACATACTGACACCAATGCAAATATGATCATGTTATACTTCACTTAAGATTTTTCAAAGGCTCTGAATTATGTAAAGGATAAAATACAACCTCCTAATTTTTTCATTGAAAATATTTTTATACCTACTTTATGACATGCATTGTGTTCGGTGCTGGAGAAAAAAGTGGTGAGCGAGACAAAAAGGCATTCAAGGCCTCTATGACTTGATCTCTGCATACCTCTCAGACTCATCACTGCTTTTGTCCTCTACACATTTTGTTCTAGAAATACTGGATAACCTACAGCTCCCTGCATATATCAAAGTTCTGTGACTTGCTCTTGCTCTTTCATCTACTTAGAATGTTCCTCTTTGGCTAATGTGGCTAAGGCATCATCTCCAATACACAGGGCTTTCTATGTGCCAGGCACTGCTGTAAGGACTTTACACAGAGTAGCATTTTAATCCTCACAATACCACCAAGACAGGTATTAATATTATCCCCATTTTACAGATGAGGAAACTAAGGCACAGAAGAGCCAGCATTTAAACTGCAGGCAGCACTAGGTTTGAGAGTCCTTGCATTTAAATAATATATTCACAGCCTCTCCCTGAACTCACAAGCTGGTCTAAATGAGCTCTTTAGTAATCCATACCACAGCACTTTCTCTGTTTACACATCTGTCATCCCCCACACTACAATATATTAGAACACTGTTTTTTATGTTTATATAAAATATATTTAAGATGTATTTTATATTTATACAAATACATGTGTATAAAATTTTATATAAATATATATACATACGCATATATATATTTCTCTGCTGGTTTATAAACTGATTCTACATTAGAGGTGTATATTCCTGATAACTAGCACGGTGTTACACTAAGTGACTAAGTCTGATTTCATTACTTTACAGATGTAGAAATTAAGATCCAGAGAAATAAAGGAATAAATAAGGTTAAACAAAATTCCACTCTTCATCTGAATTACTAAATATATGTCAGCGTCATACAGCCTCAACATACAGAACCTAGGATTTTAAAAGATTTTGAGATGTAAATTTTATCAATATATTCATCATGCCATATAATGTATAAAGCAACAAGTAAAGTGAGCTTAAAATTGTATTTCCCATACCATCTCCTACCTATCAATTTAATGAAGCTTAAAGGAAAATAAGAATACCCAACATTTGTTAGGGGATTGTGAAACAAAAGACATAAACCCCTGGGGGGAATATTAACTGCCTTTACTACTTTGGAAAGCAAATTGGCAGTACGTACAAAAAGTGTCAGAACGGATTATGCCATTCCACTGAGGAACAACACTCCTGGGAAAGTTACTACATAAAAATACATGTTTCCTACAGTTTTACTTGTAATAAAGAAAATTTAGAAACATCTTCAATGTCTAACAATGTAGGAATAAGTGAATAGTACATACAAGTGATAGAATATCATGTAGCTATTAAAATATATTTAGAGGGGGCACCTGGGTGGCTCAGTCGGTTAAGCGTCTGCCTTCGACTCAGGTCATGATCCCAGGGTTCTGGGATCGAGCCCCACATCGGGCTCCCTGCTCATCAGGAAGCCTGCTTCTCCCTCTCCCTCTGCCTGCAGCTCTCCCTGCTTGTGCTCTTTCTCTCTGTCCAATAAATAAAATCTTAAATATATATATATACACATATACATACATATATAGGAAATACACAAAACTAATCTTTAATGTTAGAAGTCAGAAGAGTGGTTATTTATGGTGGCTAGGACAGAAAGGGAGCAAGAGGAGCTTTGGGGTGATGGTCTTGCTCCAAACACTAATTATAAAGAGGTACTCAGTTTGTGGAAATTCGTCAAACTGTACAATTGTGATATGTGCATTTATCTGTAAATATATTATACACAAGTCAAACTTAAAATATGTTATGCTTAGTTTCTTTAAAAAGGAAATAGGCTCAAAAAAGTATTCCGTGAAAGAGGATAAAACATTGTAAATGCAATATGTTCAACTGGGTAAAAAGTACATAGAACAAACTCTAAACAGAAATACAACAAAACAATTCCCATTATTCTTTTAAAGCTACTATGATTTTTATCCTATCATATCCATGGGGTCCTTGTCATCCATCTTCTTGCAAGCATAAACTACATGTACTAGCTTAAAAAGTAGGTGAGAAAAATAATTAATTTATGACTGAACCATTACAGTAGTAAAGATATAAAAGGTAACCTGAAAACTGCCTGAGTCTAGATTTGTAGACAGGACATATCACACTCATTGACATAAAATACTGGTTCCCCAAACCTGGACAAACGATAGGAAAGAGCCCTCTATTAGGTGACTTCCAGAAAATCACATGGCAAATTGGTAAAGGCTGAAAACAGACAGCATTTTTAGATAAGAACACAACTACTGCTGATGGCAACAGCACTTCAATTTTCTCAGAAGATCCATGAAGATGCTTCAAGCATCCAAGGAAGCAAAATGTAAAACAAATATGTTACTGACGATTAGAATGTGTTAAAGAATAATGATGAAGCCCACCCCCACAGCCCCCCAAAATATGCGTAAAATACCCACAGTTCTGAATCAAATAACTTTTCAAATAATGTGGTTTCACATTAATACTGCAGGAAAGGCTAGCCACCTCCGATGTTCAGCCAATTTGGGTTGGAGATGACGACATCTTGCTCTCTTTCAAGATCAAACAGAACAAGTTAGGAATTTACAGTTTTGTATCAATTTAGACCTGTCTTTCCTATTTCACCTCTCACCCTCACCGCCACCTGTATACAGAAAGTCACCTTCAGTCCTGCCACCTCTTACAAAAAAAACCTCACAGTAACAAGAGCCGCAGCCTAGAGGGGAGGCAGCTGTGGAGCCAGAGCACCCCCGCGTCATCTTGCAAGCGCCCTCTGCCTAGCGGAACCTCGGGGTGCTCGGGTGGCCAGGGAAGATGGCGACATGGCCTCTGAGGCGAACAAGCACCTTCTTTCCAGCAGGACCTCCTAACTCCCACACACCACGCTGAAAGTGAGAGGTCGGTGGAGAATCTAAACCCAAGGAGAAGGCAGAGGAGAGCAGGGTGCCGTCATAGTGGGAAGGTAAATAAGGAAGGTGGGAAGAGAAAAAGGACAGGCTCAGAGGACGGGGTAAGTGGGGAGAGAGGAGCCAGAAGAATGGAGGAGTTGAAAGGCTGACGTATCTCGACGTGCAGTCTTACTCACTGGCCGGCCTGTCTCTGACCTCGGCTGTGGAGAGGGCGGCTGGGCTTCGGAGCTCCAAGCCCTGACAGCCAGAGGTCCACACAGCCGAAGCCCTCACTGACCTTGCGCAAAAGCCAGCTGGAGAAGGCAGGGGGCGTAGACCGACACCGCCCTCCCTGCAGCCAATCTCATCGCGCTCCCGTGGGCGCGCTTTTGATGACGTTAGGACTGTACCAAGATGCCCGCCTCTTCCACCCGCATTTCCGGCTTCTACCCGCCCACTTCCGGGCCTCCTCTGTTTTTCAAAGGTTTGGGCGCGAATTGCTCTGGCAGTGGCTCCCTGGAGGATTGAAGGGGTGTCGTCGGTGATCAGTGAAAGCTTTTAAACCGCTGGTGGATCCATCTTGCGGCGCGAGTTTTGCGGCCAAAGCGATTGTGGCAGACTCCGCGGCTTGTATCTCAGGAGCGTGAGGTGATTTTCCAGATGGATTTTCCGTATCTGCCCTTCGGGGCCAAGGATTGAAATATTTGATTTGCTAGGATGTAGTGAAGCCGCACCTGGTTCCTGGGTTCCGCCCTCCTTTCCCCAATTCATCTTCATCCTAGTTCTTTTTCCTTAATCTCCCGTGGCCCATAGTGGTGCGAAGTGCAGCCTTAGAGATTAGTGTCTTTGGGCATTGACGTAACTGCGGCCGGCAGCGTTGCAGTCCCGAGGCCTTTGTCAGGAGGTAAACATTGCGTTATTTGTGTTTCGCCAGACTTGGCGCTTGCCCCGTGTGCTTACACTGAGGCCTAGATTGAGAGACTTGGTTCCCACGAATTTCAGCAAACCGGTAAGAAAAATAAGACAAGTTAGGATGCCTCCCTGTTTCCTACGGAATAAGGAGTAAATTCTTCACTGTAGTATATAGTCTGGCCGCAAACTACTGTTCCAATCTTGTTTCTGTCCCTTACTCCCATACACATTCAAGTCTCGCTGAATTTTCCCTGTGCCCGAACGGACCAGTTTCTTTCCAACTGTTCTGCCATCAGGCTTTTGCTGCTTTCTCTTAAATACTTCATTCCCGATCCTTCTGGCTAAATATTTCAAAATGTAATTACCATGTTACTTTTTTTTTTTTTCTGAATACCGTATATCATTCCCCCCCAGACACACGCATACACATCAATTTGAATCATCCACTCATTTTTGTTTTATAATTTTTGTCACATGATACATAATTTTATAGTAATTGTTTTCATATCTGTCTCTACCCACTGTCACTGGGCTATGGTTTCCTGTGGATCTAAAGCAGGGCAAAATTTCTATTCATTTTACATTTACATTAAAGTTTCTATTCTAGTTCCTTTACAACTGGCCCAGTAGTGATAGAACATTGTGACTTATTTATTGAATTCTTACTATGTCCCAAGTATTGTTCTAGGCACTTTACGTATTCTGTACAAAATTTTAGCTTCACAAAAGCCTTTAATGTTGGTGCTTTTAACTTTAACCCATTCTACCAGTGGGGAATTGAACAAATTTACTTGCCTGAGGTTGTACAGCTAGTTAAATGGCAGAGCCAGGATTTGGAACCAGGCCATTCATCTTTATTCCTGACTTGCTCTTGGCAGTGGTTCTCAGTCTGAGGTACCTTCACACCAGGAGACATTTAATAATGTCTGGGGACAGTTTTGGTTGTCACACCTTGGGGAAGGGAGGGTACTAGCAACTAAAGACCAGAATACAGTTCATGGGACAGCCCTCACAACAAAGAGTTACTCCATCCAAAATGTTGATAGTAACGAGCTTTAGAAACTTTTTGTGCTATGGTTTATTGGCTTAAGTAGGTATCAGTGAAAATGGTGCAGCTCGTATTGCCGCTAGTAAAGAAACAGCTTTTTTTTTTTAATTTTTAATCAGCTGCAACTGATTCTTTCGTACAGTACAACCAAAAATTAATTACTAGTCAAACCCATAGAGTATATAACACCAAGAATGAACCCTACTGTAAAATACAGACTTTGGGTGATAGGATATGTCAGTGGGAGTTCATGAATTATGGCAAATATACCACTCTGGTGTGGGATGTTGGTAGTGGAGAAAGCTGGAGGTACAGCGGGTATATGGGAACTCTCTATACTTGCTGCTTGATTTTGCTGTGAACCTAAAACATCTCTAAAAAAGAAGGTGGTGGGTTGTTGTGTTTTTTTTAACAAATTACTGGGAAAATGGCATTTAAAAAGAAAAAAAGCCAATTATTTTATGATCAGATTCAACATAAAATTTTTGCCAAATTATGATAAAAGTTTCTAAATGAATATTGTCAGTTTCTATATTTAAAGGCACTATAGTAGTTTGTGAGTCAAATTTGAAGTAGCACTAAATTACATGTTTTTGAATAAAGAATATCAAGAAAAACCGATTAATAGAACCAAACTATGAATAAGTGCCAGCTGAGAGTTAGACACCAGAAGCGCCCACAGACTTTTAGAGTGGAGTGGAGTGGTTAGGAGGCATGAAGAGCAGGTGGCTCATGCTCTGGGAGGGTGGGCAGAGACAGGAGAGGAGAGCAGCTCGGGTGGAGGGCATAGTGTATGCATTACTCAAAGTGTGTTTGGGAAATCATCAAATCTAGCTAGAGAGAGTCTTATAAGGAGTAGTGGGAGAGAAGTATGGAAAGCTAGGCAGGGCTAGATTTTTAAGAACTATAAATGACATGGTAGAGTTGGATGTTGTGTAGTAGGTATTGGGGAAGGATTTTTAAATTTTTTTTAATTAAAAAAATTATTTATTTGTTCCAGAATTCGGGATCAGAAACAACTTGGTAGGGCTGACTCATGTCTTTTCCATGCAGGGTCAGCTGCAGCATATTGGCTCAGGTACATGTACCAGGCTGGCAAGTTGGTACTGGCTATTGGTTGGGAGTTCAGCTGGGGCTTTTGCCTGGGGCTTTCAGTTCCTCTCCATGTTGGCATTCCTCATAGCATGGTAGCTGGGTTCCAAGAGCAAATATTTCAAACATGACGATGTTGCAGCTGCCGGTCTTTTCATGTTTAGGCCAGTAAACTAGTACAGAATCATTTCCACCATATTCTACTGCTCAAACAGCTACAGAGTCTGCCAAGATTTAAGATAAAGGGACATAGACTCCATCTCTCAATAACAGGAGTAAGAAGGAATTTGCACCATTTTTAATTTACCAAATGGAGTGAGGACTAAATTTCAGCCCTCACTTGCTCCCTCACCTTCTTCATTGAAAAACCTGTACTGCTATATGTATCGTAACCCTTCCAGGAGAGGCCCACAAGTGAAACTGTCATGTGGATTGGTTTTTAAGTCGGGGAAGGATAAGGGCATGGATGTCACGTTGAAAGAATTAGGCATCTCAGGAATCTAACACTAACTGGGTGTAGAGTACCACATTGTTCAAGAGCAGGGTAAAGTGTAATTTACCAGAGCTTTTTGTAACTGATCTTACATGTAGTCCCCAAGTATAGTGGTGATCTTTCAATTAATTATTTCCCTCCATTTTTGTTAATCTTACTGAAAAAAAAGCTTGAACCTTTACCTTTTAAAATTTGAAGAAATAGATTTATCCAAAGTAACTCCTTTATTGTCTCTCAATCTGCATATATAAACTATTAATCTATTTAACTCTGAATTTTTAGAAAAGGAATGGTGACTGGTATGTATCTAGCTGTATATGCCTAGAAAACATTTATATATATATAAATAAGATGTATAAACTACATATATGTATGTATGTGTATATGGGCATACCTCATTTTTATCGTGCTTCACAGATACTGTGTTTTTTACAGACTGAAGGTTTGTGGCAATCCCACTTCAGCAAGTCTTTTGGCTCCATGTTTCCAACAGCATTTGCTCACTTTCTGTCTGTTACATTTTGGGAATTCTTGCAAGATTTCAAACTCTTCCATTATTATTATATTTGTTAGGGTGATCTGTGATCAGTGATTGACTTGCTGAAAGCTCAGATGATAGTTAGCATTTTTCAACCATAAAGCTGTTTTAATTAAGGTATGTACATTGTTTTTTTAGATATAATACTATTGCACACTTAATAGACTACATTATAACGTAAACATAACTTTTACATGCAAATGAAACCAAAAATTTCATTTGACTTACTTTATTGCAATATTCGCTTTAGCTGTCATCTAGAATGGAACCTGCAGTATCTCTGAGGTATGCCTGTACATACATACACACACACACACACACACACACTCCTCTATGTATACTGTACCTAACTTCTAAGCTATCTACTCCTTATGGCCTAAAGCAAGAATAAACATTCTATTCCTCTGTTCCTTTTAACAGTAATGAGTTTGGTGATAAAGGACTATTTGGTGATAAAGGACTTAAATTTTGTCATCGAAATCATCCACACTCCTGTGTCTGTTTTGTAATTTGTGGAAGGACAGAATAATCATTATACTACTGAGCTTTTTTAAAATGCAAATAGCTCAGGCAGAGTTGTAGCTTAAATCCTTATGAGTGACTTTTTCACTTGAATTTCCACAGCATAGATTCATAGTATGGACCCTAAAGATTATCTCCTTTCATCTTTGGCATAAGTCGAATGAGAAATCCATTAGGCTTAAAATAAGAAGCCCTGAGTATTACTCTTCAAATTAATATTATCTGTGACCAGAGTAAAACAATTTAATACTTTATATTTCCATTTTCTTGGGTCTAAACATGGAGATAATGTTATTGTATGGTGGAGTATAAAGTAAGAGATGCAAAAGCACTTTCACATGATTTTTTTAAAGCCATAAAAATAGAAATTTCTAGGAATGAAACTGAATTAGATACATACTTCAATAATAATCAGTGTTACTTGTTTTAAAATATGTTTAAGTGTTCTAAAAACAATACTTCCCCAAAACTTTCATTATGATTTTTTTAAAGCAAACTTGGAACATTTATAGGTAGTTCTTTTTTCTTTTTTTTATCGGAGAGAGAGAGTGAGCACAAGCAGGGGGAGTGGCAGGCAGAGGGAGAAGCAGTCTCCCCGCCGAGCAAGGAGGCGATGTGGGACTCGATCCCAGGACCCTGGGATCATGACCTGAGCCGAAGGCAGACGCTTAACCGGCTGAGCCACCCAGGCGTCCCTATAGGTAGTTCTTTTTAACAAAATATTCTGCAAGCTTAAGCTTATTTTTGTGTCCTTTTTATCTTCACAGATTTTTTGA